ACGTGACTTCTTGCAACTGAACAGCAATTGTTTCTCCAGGTTACATAGAACGCTAAGCTGAACAGCTACAGTGCATTTGTGATTAAATGTTCCAACTGAGGACGCAACATGGCCACACTAAAGGGAATTCCACTTATTTTTCTAAATTTCTACATGAGTTAATTGTGCCCTGCAATGGACTGGCGACCTATCCAGGGTGTATCCTGCCTTCCGCCCAATGACAGCTGGGATAGGCTCCAGCACCCCACCATGACCCAGAAGGATAAGCGATTTAGATGATGGATGGATGGATGGATGGATCGATGGATGGATGTTAATTGTTAGAATGTAAACAAAGCTTTTCAGAGTGGTTTCATGTGAAATGATTCATTGCAGAGACTCAGATTTCTTTCCAGTGGTGGTGATAGGAACCAGGGGTCATCATGTCTACAACACAAATATATACATTTTATTTATGATCCAGAACAACCAGTGAACCTACAACAGTTTTACATGTGATGTTGATGATGGTAAAAAAGTTCTAAACCTGGAATAAAAACAAACCTAGGAAACTGTTTGCTTTACAACACCCTGCATGGACCGCTCTGCAGTGAAGAGTATTTTATAAAAATTTGTTTAAGGCCAAGAGTTTCTCAAAAGTATCATATAATGTCTTCATCGGTGTATTAACAACCATTTCATATAATAACTATCCATGAGGGAGCTTTTAGAGGCATTAAACTCTTCCAACGTCTGGTTCCTATCACCACCATTGAGAACAACTTGCAGAAATAGTTTCTACGTTTTTTAAGTTTCTCTAGAACTGAGCATTTCACATCAAACAACTCTGAATTTGTTTACATCTACACTGTTTAATTATGAAGACATTTTGAAAAATCAGTGGAGTTCCCCTTTAAGTAATCTAAATAGTGCTTATGTGGTTTCTGACATTGTATGACTTACTGTTATCTATACAAATGGGCAAAAGGACATTACACAGCTAAAAGAAAAACATAGTAGAAGCCGTTTTGAAGCCTGTCTGTGTGTTTGTTACATTATCCTTGCAGCAGTTTTAATAATTTAAATATCAAAGTTAAAGACAGACACTTCAAGCACACAGACAGGCTTCAACAGCGTTTAATTGACATAACTGTGCTCTACTCTCACAATTACACTGTAATTGTGGAGCAAACGGGTCATTCTCCATTTGGAGAGGAAACCATGTCACAAAGGTTGCAGGGCTTAAAAAGATGCTTAAAATATTCGGCACAGCTCCAAAAGTTGGTATGTACATTTACACAATCGACCTAAGATTAAATAACACTATTCCCTCATGATTTCTCTGATTTTTCTTTTTTTTTTATCCTGTTATATATATATATATATATATATATAAATATATAAAAAAAAACATATATATATATATGTATATATATATATATAACAGGATAAAAAAAAAGACAGAAATTTGTATAAAACAGACTCATGTTTACTTTTTATATCATTAACGTTAAACTACATTTAAAAAATATGTATTTTAGTTAAAAAAAATTCATTTGTCACAGATATTTTGGTCACTGCTGTTATCAGGACTCCTATGTTACATTTTAACACAGTATTTTCAGCTCTATTAAACTGCTTCTTTGGGTCGAGGCTCATCAGAGAGGAAGCACTTTAAGGCATGAGAAGGCGAGTCACACTCACTCACTATATTTCATTAATTTATTAATAATTTTGTTTTCAGGCAGCTCATAACTTCTATGTGTTACTGGTATTATGCGCTTTAATGGCTGGGTAATTAAAATTTTGTCAAAATAATGCCATATATCATTTTTATTACTCATTTTAAATAGCTGCAGAAGGTCACCTGACCACCAATGAGTCATCCAGTTTACAAAATCCTCAGTTTTAACCAGAAAGTCACTGGAGTCACCGTCACTGGTGTTACACCACATTCATACAACACCAGTGACTGTAAAATATGTTCAGAATTAAGCTCTCTATATGCACGCACATATGATAATAGGAGATATTAATGGACAGATTAACATTATTTAGTTCTGGGCTTTTAAAAAAATGTGTCCACCTGAACTCCCACTCCAAATGGAGAATGACCCAAACATGTCTTGGCTGATTGACAGTAGTAAAATTGAGGTAAATTGGATACAATTGATTTGTCGCCAAACCACTGCTTTAAGAAAATATGAGCAAAATTACTAACGACAGTAATAAAATGTTTATCTATGTTGAATGATTTTGGGTCAGGAATGTAATATGTTACAGAAATCTCACGTCCGCACACACAGACACACATGCAGAGTAAAACATGCTGCTTTTAATCACTTTAGAATTTGTTAATTAGTTTGCCATATCTAATGCTGGCTCCTCATCAGTAATTAACACGTGGATAATTATAGACCAGCTCTACCTCTCTGTTTGGTTTAAGTCTCGTGTTAGAGCTAGAGGTAGGCCACGAGTGTCAGTTGAAGCGGTTCACCTGGGTGGGCTTATGAGAGTGAGGCCTGATTAACACCTCCAATGTTTCCACAAACATCTCGAGAAGCTTCTGCATGGAGTGATGGAGTGAAAATGGAATCGAACTTCCATGTATGTCATTTCAATGCTGGTACGTACGAGATAAAATCAGACATACCATAAATGCCAGTGGCACAGCGCAACATACTTTTATTCCAAATGTTAATTGGCAGCTTAGTGTGAATCACATATGAGGAAAGCTTTTCATAGTGAAAGCAAAAGGTCTGCTCCTCTATGGTTTGACCTGATAATGCACACTGACACATTGTTATGACATCCATCTCTGTGTGGTACCTGAGATGTGTCAATGAGTCAAGACTGAATTCCTAAGTAGGGTTTGGACTTCAAAAGAACAATCTGCACATGCAAGAAATTGACCTGTAAATCGAGTACTGACCTGTAATCAAAGTGGTATCATTAAAAGAAGATGACAAATAGGATATATTACACAGATATTACACATAGAATGAATGAAGAATGAATTGCATACTAACAAGAAATTGAAAGGCAGCTGCTTGTGAAACTATGTATTTCTTCATAAACCCCAAATCAGCTCAGTGCACAAAAGATAAACAATATGTTTATTGTCTGTCACATGTGGCATCTATCAAAGCGCTCATTAAGCAGTTTGGTAATTAGCAGCGAGAGGCAGAGCGGCTGAGGTGTGTTTAGTGTGATATGTTCTTGTTTGAGACCCACTGTTATTAATTATTTTATTTATTTATTTATCTTTCAATAATTCTCAGCACAATTAACAAACACCCGGCAATGTTTCACACCCCTCCTGTAATCTCACACAGAGACAGTTTCGTAACTGTTCTGTAGAAACAGACAACTTTTTGCATTTCTGCCCTGATCTGCTGACTGAATCCATCAGCCTGACAACCTTCAGTCTATCATAGTCCTCTGTCTGTCCGTCTATCTATCTATCTATCTACCTGTCTATCTGTCTGTCTGCCTCTCCATCTAACTGTCTGTCTGCCTCTCCATCTGTCTGTCTGTCTGTCTCCTCTGTCTGTATGTCTGTCTGTCTGTCTGTCTGTCTATCTATCTACAGCTAATGCACAGCCACTATAGAACTAAAGAACAAAAATAATCAATTAATTCAGCTTAAATTTGAATGCTGCACTGATTAAAATTGTATTTTTTAAGTACTTTAGTAACAAAATTTAGTGTAATGTTATAAAATTATAAAATACATTTAAAAAAAACTTTTTTTTCAAAACCTAATTACCATCTTTATTTACATAATGTTTAGTTTTTTGTTTTTTTTTGGCCCTCGCGCCTTTACAAACACTGAACTTTCATACTGCAAGACAAAAAATTGGGGAACCCCTTGTCCAAAGTACGCTGACATCCCTCCTGATAAATAAATGAATAATAATAAAAAAAAAACAGATCAGATCAGCATGAATGCCTAAACCAGTATGAGTTCCATGCTGGTCTAAGCTGGTTTATGCTGGTATGTGCTGTTTTTTTTTCCTAGCAGGGATATTTATTTATTTATTTATTTATTTATGAATAAGTCTCAGCACAATTAACAAACACCCGGCAATGCTTCACACCCCTCCTGTAATCTCACACAGAGACAGTTTTGTAACTGTTCTGTAAAAACAGTAAAACTTTCTGCCCTGATCTGCTGACTGAACCTATCAGTCTGACAACCAGACCTTCAGTTTGTCATCATAGTCCTCTGTCTTTCATCTATCTGTCTGTCCATCTATTTATCAACCTGTATGTCTGCTTGTCTATCTATCTATCTATCTATCTATCTATCTATCTATCTATCTATCTATCTATCCATCCATCCATCCATCCATCCATCCATGTATCCATCGTCCTTCAGGACCAGATTGGACCCCTCCATTAATTAAAAACACCTCGATGACCCATGAGTCTTTTGGAATAATGTTTTGTGAACTGATGAGTCAAAAGACGAAATGTCTGGGGTCTCCGAGCTGACCCCCCTGCTGAAAAAAACAGCACAGATCAGCATGAATGCATAAACCAGTATGAATTCCATGCTGGTCTAAGCTGGTTTATGCTGGTCTAGTTCAGGTGTAGTGCTGGTTTAGCTGTGTTAAAGCTTGGTTTGTTTGTTTGTTTGTTTGTTTGTTTGACATACAGTGAAGCTTCTTCTCATGCTACTAATTTAATAACCCGTTTCTACAGAGACGCTACTGTTATTTTAGCGTATCAAACACAAAAGTATAAGATTAATCATTTGTTTTGGTCTCGGCTCCGTCCATTTAACGTTTCCATTGGTTTCCATGGACACGGCGTGTTCTCTCCCACTGATGTGTCACTGTCTAAATAGGTCGGGTAGAAACAAAACACAACTGTTCAATGTTCTCGTTGCATATCAACCGAAAATTCTAATTACAGAGTTTATGGCATTTACAATATTATCAGTAATAATAACTAGACTACTCAGTGTGCTGCTTTTTGATTGTCTTCCAAAACATTTATGTATTTTAAGGGAATTATCTGCCGTGTTGTTCAGTGGGCGGAAACAGCGAGAGAGCAGAGAGAGCTGTTCACAGCATGGCTGAGAGAGAGAGAGAGAGGCAGCGAGTCTGAGCAGAGAGTGAGAATTATTCAGATATGAGGTTTGACTTTTGGCTTTTGTGTTACACCGAATCGGAATTTCATTGTTAGTTTGTATTTTACCATCAGCCAACCTGCTTTTTTAGCGCCGTATGGCTTCTAACGGTACCTTAGTTAGCAAGTTAGCGTTAGCAAACTGAGCTTGCTAGCCGGTCTTTTTTCCCCTCACTGTTTTTATTTTCCAGCTGATGTCCAGTTTTCAGTTTCAGTCCGGTTTACATTTTAAAGCTTACGGTTCAAACTACGTCCTCTGTCATGTAAGAAAGTAACGTTAAAAGTCCGGAGCCAAACCAGCTCTTAAAGGGGAAATCCACCGGTTTTTTCAAAGTGTCTGCATAATTCAGTCATCGATATGTAAACAAAGCCATTCAGAGTGGTTTGATGTGAAATGGTTCATTGTAGGGAAGCTTACTGTGCAGTTCTTTACAGTGGTGGTGATAGGAACCAGGGGTCACCATGACTGCAACACAAATATAGACATTTTGTTTACTCTCCAAAACCACCAGTGAACCTACACGTGTCTTGTAAGTGTTGATATGGGATGTTGATAATGGTAAAATAATGGTAAATCTAGGGGAAAAAAAAACACTTTTCTGCCTCAACACCCTACATGTATCTGTCTGCCATTTATGGATTTTAAAAAGTACATTGTATAGCCTAAAAGTTTATTTCAAAACTTATTATAGAACATAACTATGTCTTGGGCATCAGTATTCATAACCATCACATGTAATAACTTTCTGTGAGGGCGATTTCAGAGGCATTAAACTCTGCTTTCTATCACCACCTCTGTGATTCTGACTCAGTAAGTTTCTCTAGAACAGAGCATTTCACACCAAACCACTCTGAATGACTTTGTTTACATCTTAGCAGTTAACCTATGGAGAAATTTTGAAAAATCAGTGGAATTCCCCTGTAAAGAAAACTGTCTAAGCGTCTAAAGGCTGTATGGTAAACATATGAGGACGGTGTTTTGCAGTGTGTTCTGAAACACTATACAAAATATGCATCAATCAGAGACAAAATACTCTTACAACGCAACCCTCGCACATAAGCATAAATAATCAGGTTTCTTATTTTGGCAGGAGTATGGCAAATGATCTGCAGAAAAACTGGTACTCCATACTTGGTGCTGCTCCTTCTGATGATTTGCAAGAGCTGAAACAGAAGTACCAGAGACTGGTCCTTATGGTATGTCTTTTGGTTTTGTTTAGTGATTGAACTTGTTTTACATACTGCATTTAGTACTGTTCTCTGAAATAAGAAATGTTTATCCATGTGGTTTAGCTGCAGGCCCCCTGAATCCCAGCTTCGTGACCAAAGAGCCAAATGATTACCCTCATGAGACATGACTAGTGTTATTGTGAAAGAACGCTACTGGATATAAATATAAATTAATAATACTATAATTCTTAGAAGAGTAGAATAATAGAAAAAGTAATTGTATTCAAAATCACTGGGAAAATAAGTTATATCTCAACGTACTCCATTTGATATAACATTTATTATTGATTATAATAGTAGTGTTGTCATATAATTTGATATTAACAGTAGTGAAACTGTATTTAAAAATGATCTTAAGAGTCAGTTTAGAGCCAAAATAACAGCACTTCAAAGTGAATGGACCCAACTTGCAAAGCTCTTCAGCTGCTATTTTGCATGGAAGCTGCTCCAGTCAGTTTTGTATTTTGTGTGGTTGTGTCACATTCCACACTGAATTATATTTTTGTAATTATTTTAATGCACAGTTATTAATTAATAAAACATAGTTATTTAATACATTGTTATTTCACATATTAAAAGTAAGAGCAAAGTGTTGAATATGCAGTTTTGGTGAATCGCTGGCTCAAATGCTCTGAGGGTCCCTTGTGTGTGAAGTTCATTACCGGCTTTGGCCACAGGGAACAGCAAAGAAGAGCAAAACAGTCCTGAGAAAAGATGTTCTGATCTTTCAGGCGAAGTTCCATACTGTACACTATAATTTACAGATTTTTCACATACGAAACCTGTGCGCAACTCAAAGGGGATATTACAGGGATTATGGAAGTGCCATTCAGTGTGGATTATGTGTAAGCACTGCAAAGCCTGATGCCATCAGATCAAATATTGGTAAGGAACAGAACAATATGCAGCCTCTGTGTGAAAAAGAACCTATTTGTGCTAAATATGAAACCAACAGTCATTAAACGAGGATTTTTTTTTGAGATTCTGCATAACTTAATTAAGATCAATTGTAATCAGATTCATTCAGAGTGGATTGATGAGAAATGCTCCTTTCTAAAGAAACTTCTCATGTAAGAATTGTTCCCATTACTAGACTGAAGAGTTTAATGCTTCTTAAAGCTCCCTCACATGAAGTTATGACATGAAATCGTTATGAATTCACTGCCTGATGTCTGAGACGTTGTTGTATGATAGTTTTGAGATCAGCTTTTGGACTAAACACATTTACATTTACATATACATTCAGAGAGGTGCATGCAGGATGTTGTAAGGCAAAATAGTATCCATAGAAATCATCATTTTTGTTTTATCACTATTTTGCCTTTATCATAATTAGATATAAAAACTCAGAAGACACATGTAGATTCACTGGTTGTTTTGAATAGTAAATACAGTGACTGTATTTGTGTTGTAGACGTTATTCCTGTCACCACTGCTATAAAAAATGAGTATAACTTCAGTGCACCATTTCACGTCAAACTACTTACACTCACTTAACTCTCAACAATTGAATTCTATAGAAATTTAGAAAAATCTGTTGACTTGCCCTTTAAATGTATCAGTGCACCCAGTCACTGAAAGGCTATTCCAGGGAGCTAATCGTGGAGGGCTGGGGTCCAGCATTGTTTGGAGATTTCCCTGTTCAAACACCTGATTCAACTCAGCGGTTAATGACCAGATGTTAGATTAGGGAAATCACCAAACTGTGCTGGACTCTGGGCACCCCTGGGCTATCCCTTTATCCGCTGTGAGGTTTATAGGCTGCACTTATTTTCCATTGGGTGCAGGTGTCCTGTGCAATTGAATCATGCTAAAGACAGGCCTTGATTCAGTATCACCTAAGCCTGCTGTGTTACAGAGCTGATGTCAGACCTCCCTTTGTCCTAGTGAGATATGACTTGATCAAATGCAAATTAAATCTCTTATTGGGGACATGAAGGTATAGACCCGCTGTGCTAAAGCCAGGTTGCCTTACTGCCTATTCCTAAACTTATATAAACTGAAATAGAGATAAAACTGACAAAAACAAACACCTACATCAGAAATGACAGATCTCCAATCTTGAAAATCTTCTTGATTTTTTTTGTCAGGCATCAACGAGCTGGGCTCTGAGTGATCTTAGTATTAGATGTTCAGTCCACAGAAGTACAGTCTGTCTGATATCTGTGGAATGTTAAGCTGGCCAAAACTTCAAATTGTGTCCATTGCAGTCTGATAGGCTCTCCACATGTCTGTGTGTGTACACAACTCCATGCACTGGTTTTATGTATTCAGTGGAAAACACATCATGCTGTCTGTGCGGCAGTGAAACTGTCAGAGGAAAATATAATTGCTGGATTAAAAAACTCTTGTGTCAAGTCCACATCCCTCTTTAAAAGTTGTTCACCAGGGGCTGTATTACAGAAACGTCCTATTTTTTTGTCTTAAGATCAAGGTCATAAGATTTTTCACAAATTCATATAACAGAAGCAAATCTAATCTTAATTTAGGAATCTTGTCTAACAGCATCTTATCTCAAGTTAGGAAAGCTTAACCTACTTGGTCGAAGTTGACAGTCAACTGTCATGCCTGTTACTTAGCAACCGACCATATGTGCACAGCTGAAACGTAAACACATAATCAAAAGGAACCAAGTTAGGCAGCCAACGTTAATTACCGTTACTGATGTAAAAAAAAAAGGTCAAACAAACTAAAGTGCGATAAATTGAAGGTTAAGAATATTGTTTTAGTGTTTGGTGCTGTGTATCAGAGCGTCGCTGCTCCCCAGTTTCAGTTTCCTAAACGCTTTAGCCGAGTGAGCTAACGTTATTCCTGCTTATAGACACACGTTCAGCTCTGTCTCCTCATTATTCACCACCATCACTGTAATACTGTATCTGGTGAGTTTTCGTCAACATTAACACAGAAAGGTAATAAGAGGTGTGGTGGAGAGCGTTTCTGCTGCGTCTGGGTCTTTTTAAATGCTGTTAGAAGAAACCCTCATAAGTCAAAGCACCGTTTTCAGTGTAGATAAATGTAACGTCATTATGCCAGTTATAGTAAACTATGCTGCCTGTCACTGCATAAAACAATAGAAACAGACAGTTAAGAAAGAAGTTAAGACACTCTGGGGTTGCTTTAAAGTTAGGACAGAATTTAGGAGATTTAGTCTAGTTAGGATGTTTCTGTAATACTGTTTTCTTATCTGGAGTTAGATAAGATGATGAACTTAACTGTTGTTCTGTGATAGCTTCTGTCCTAAATTCAGTTCCAAATGAAGTTGTTATGGTGACTAAACAGATAAGATTTCAGACTAATGTAGTTTCTGTAATACGGTCCCAGGTTTCTTTAAAGCGTTTAGGAACTACTGAGTGAGAAACCTGTTTGTTTCCTGTGGGAGGGGGCGGGCGATAATATGATATGCAAAATATGATATCACAATACTTCAAGATATTTTCACAATATATGATATGCATCACTATATTTCTTTTTTCTGAGATTTGATATGTTGGAACAGACAAAGTAGAACCTGTAGTGCCACACATAAAAAATACTATAATAAACTTACAACTACATTGATTTTTATCACAAACAGCACTGCACTAAATCCAGTTAAACTGGCCTAATTATGCTCACTTTGTAATGAAACATGCTGTTTTTCAGTGTACTGAAGTACTGACGATATCCATAATGTGCACAAAAATCGTATTGTGACATAATTGATCATGATAATGATAAAAATATTATTACATAGACCCCTCCTACCTGTCAGTGAGTTTTTGTTGTAGCCTCATTTAAAAAAATCTCCTGCGCTTACTAGGGCCGAATGATTTGTGCAATTTCTCAATATTGTTACGATTTAAATTACATTTTTTTCTATATAACAAGGCCTTTTTTGCCAAAAAGACCACATAATCCACTTTTTCTGGCTTGAGTCTTGAACACTGAACATAGTCTGCCAGACTGCTACTTAGTTGTGGTTATGAGGTCACAGCACTGGATGTTTGGTTGCTTTTAATTGGTCTAACTCATTTAGAGGTTCACAAGCTCCATGCTATTGGATTAAATTTCGCCTTTTAAAACTTAAGACAGTGTTGTTTATATTATAGAGTATTAAAATACGATTAAAATTGCTCTCTTTCAACTTTTGATTTCAGCCTTTTGCCCCTACACTTTACACAAAACTTTGCTGTCAAAGTAGGCGGTCCTTTACCATCTTAAGCGTCAACATGCACTCTCTGATGATAGGCAGGCAGATAAGCTTGACTTGCAAGAATAATATCTGAAGGTCATGCATATGGCCAGGCAAAACACAAGGTAAAATTGTAGGAGGGTCAGTTTAGATGGTTTTGGAAGTTAATGCATGACTGTTAGTCATCAGTTTCCTTTCTTGTAAATTTCAAGGGAACCTCTCGTTTTTCCGGAAGATCTTTGGAGGCTAGGCTTAGCCTAACATGGACACCAGAGTGATTGCCATGCTTCTATTTCCTCTCGTACCACCTCAGAAGCTGCCCAACTCTTTCCTTTTTCTGCTGCCTCAGATGAGGCCTTGTGCTTCAGGACCTTGTGTGTGAAACATGCCGTGTACCAGCTGGTACTGAAGCATGAATCACTGTACCAACATTAACTGTACCAGTTAATGTTAACTTATTAGCTCCTCTGAGGAAGCAGCTTCTGTTACTCAGCCAACATGGCTATTTCTGAGTAATAAAACATGTTTTCATCGTTTAACCTTCAGTGCTGTCTAAAAAGTAAGCCCTACAGCCCTAGATCAGCTTTGGCTGAAGTGTTTTTTTTTGTTTTGTTTTGGTTTTTTGCTTTTGTTTTTTGATTTATCCTTCCCTGTGATTAACCGGGTGTGCATTTATTAACTACAGCGGATTCACAAATTAGTCAGAATACACATTACTGTTCCTTACTAAACCAAGGGAAACCTGATGTGCAGATAAATAAACAGCCGTATATTTCTAAGTAAAAGTCCTGGTGTT